GGTTGTTTATGCATTAGCCACCCTCAACTTATGCTTTTGGCATAAGCTGAGGTGCACATGTCCATGGAGGGACCAGGGCCTTCACATTGTTCCCAGAAAAGATCAGTTGGGGTGAAAAAGAAAGGTCAAATTTTAAGCTCAGATTATTTGGATCAAAGAATGATAAATTTCATTTGGTCTTACTTTTAGCAGGACTAACCAGGCAAGTTCTAGCTCAGTTACAAATAGTGGACTATTCAAATTTCCTCACACTCACTTGAAATCTCATCACTATACCAGATTATCAAACACCTAGTTCGAATTTAAGACTTAAGGTAATGCAATGGTTTAACTCTGTTTCATGCTTAGAGCCACACAATTATCAGTTAATATGCCTAGTCATGCATTATTTTCCAGTTTATCAGGATATCATTTTAGCCATCATTCTTCAGACTTAAACTATGTACAAAAGATATAAACATGACGGTTCAACAGAAAAAGTAATCAGTCTTTTGGGGGAAAAGAACACAGGCATAAAAACCCCAAAAGAGGATAGTGAATTGGGCTACTCAGACTTAACCCTAACACTCACTATCCATTTACCCCACCCCCAACAAAAAGGCATGTAATTGCCCCTAATGCATGAAAATCTAAATACAAGAGTGGTAGGTGAAGCAAACCTGTGGCGCAAAGCGTCGTCGATCAGCAAGATGGTGGGTCCAGTTCCCCGGAACCCACGTCCTCTGCAATCTGGACACCCTCAGTGGTGTCTTCACAACAACCGCACCATCAGTAGTGCCTCCTGCTATCTCCACAGTGCGGGAGCTAGACGCCCCAGCCGCTAACTCAGATGCTCTCATTCGGTTCGCCTCCTCCTCAGTAAGGGAGGCTCTCCGCGCAGCCTTCATCTCTCGGAGCTCCTTCTTCCTTGCTCGTGCCTCGTCCTCTGCTCGACCCCTACACCTCTTGGCACTCTATCGAGGGGGAGATGGTGGAACTTCTGAAGTAGCAAAAAGGGTTGCCAACACGGTGTCCTCAGCAGGCTCGACAGAAGGGGCCTCAGGATCCGGCACCCTAGCCTCTACGATTGTGTCGATGTCTGCACGAAGACTGTCGACTGCAGCCTGAAGAGTCGACACATCCACCAGAGGGGCTGGTCGGGCTAGCACTCTCAACTCAAAGGTGTCCAGACGTTGGTTAACCTCAGCGATCTTTCACTCTGTAAACTGCATCATCTTCCTCTCTAGACTCTCTTCGGACTCAGTAATCGACCTCTGCATCCACAGCTGGATATGATGCAGAAGAGTGGCCATTTGTGCCTCTAGTTTTTGGACCCTTGCAAGCGGGACCAGTGTCGGTAGAGGGGTTGTGCGAGAGGAGCTCGGGGCTGTGCTACTACCAGGGATAGACTCGACCGGGGTAGTGTCAGTGGACGCCTGTGTAGCTGTGCGGGCCTGGGCTACCGTATCAGTAAGTTCATCAACAAGTGGGGGCAGCTCTGGACGGGGCCATCTGCATGGAGCCAACTCATTGGCCTCGTCTCTGATGAGGCCGACGTCTACAGTGCCCTACAGGGTCTTAAGCTAATCTACGTGCCATATGGGCACACCTGCGGACCTGCAAAGGGCAAAGATCATGCACGGGAAAGGGTAGGTAGTAGTGACCTTGAATGCCCTCTCATACATATCTGCCTGGAGAAGCCATGTGAAGTCCACCTCGAATCCGGCTATCATCGCCGCCATCAACACTACTCGATCCTAGGTAACTATGTTATCAGCAACTAGGGGGAAAGGTAGTGACGGATAAGCAGCCACAAGAACTTTGTTGTGAATGTGAGGTTGTCCTTCTTGATGGCCCCCTTTGGCTCAGTCACCCAATCGGCACCCTCTCCATCTACTGACAGGTGCAGGTCCATCCACCTCTTGGTGGTCTCTCTCAGTGCTGGATCGCGCAAGAACTGGCCATCCTTTACTATCTGCCAGCGGTAGTCAAACTCGATAGTGATGGGGGTCCGAGTAGCATCTGCACTCTCGCCGTATAGAAATCGGCGGATGGCTGGTAAGGAAATGTCAACATGCACACCCCGGACTCGGACCTGCTCTAGTGGGGCGTGTTTAGCAGGGGCAACTTGCCTATCGATCTGTGATCGGAGAGTCGCTACGTAGGATGCGTAGAACTCTCGGACCATTTCATCGTTGTATCGTCCCAACGGACGTGATGTCCACTCCAAGTGATGCCTGGTGAAGAGGTTGTGGATCTCCGGCATCGTTGGGAGACTCCCTGTAAGTACCCGCCGCTCCAAGGTGAGTGTTCGAGTCATCACTCCTTTATCAGTCAAGAACTTGGCGTCGGAGTAGACTTGAAACTGCTCATCGACACACCACCGGTTAGGCTGGTCAGTGGCTGGAGTGGGGACCAGAGCTGGTGAGCCGGATGTAGAGTCTGAACTGTCAGCCTCATCAGACGAGGCCGACGCTGCAGTAGTGGCGGGTGCGGAAACCTCAGCAGAGCCAGAGGCTTCCTCGGACCAAGATACTCCTAAGGAGCCAGACGCTCCTTCCTCATTTGTGGCTGCCCAGAGGGTGTGCCGGTCAGTGTGAGCTCCTCATTAGACTAGGAGGCAGTGACTACGCTGGACGCCACCTTTTTGGGTGTGGCTCTGGGAGCACGTGCAGCATGGGAAGGTGTGGAAGTACCTGGGGGAACATACTCAGGGTCCCGCACATGATCAGAGCCGATGATCATGCGTGCAGACGGGGCGACAGACTTTGATCGCCCGCGTGCGTAGATTCGGTCTTGCTTGGGTGCCATAGTAGATAGTACCTGCAAAGGATCAATATTAGTACCAGTACTAGCAAACAAGACAAGCGAAACCATACGAAATACAACATTAAAAATAGTATGTTATTGCTGTAGAAGCAGCGACACACGACGGGTAAGGTGATGGCTCATCGTGACTATGACGGACCATCGTGAGGTCCATCGTGTTTTACTTAGACTATGTATATATAGAGAACCCTGACGGAGAGTCTCTGACTAGCATGACGGTATGTGCAGGACGGACCGTCACAGGTACGAAGGTCCGTCGTATATGTCCGTCGTAGGACACTTGAGAAAAAAATTGAGACCCTTAGGAGAGGGATCTCTGACCGTTATGACGGTCATGCAGGACGGACCGTCATGGATACGACGGTCCGTCACATCTTTCCGTTGAAGGACACTTGGAAAAAAATGAGAGACCCTTAGAAACAGGGTCTCTAACAACCAGAACGGTTGTGCAGGACGGACCGTTGTGAAGACAATGGTCCGTCACATGTGTACGTTGGGGAACACTTGGAAAAAAATGAGAGACCCTTAGAAACAGGGTCTCTGTCTAGCATGACGATTGTGCAGGACGGACCGTCGCGAGTACGACGATCCGTCACATGTGTCCGTTGGGACAGGGGTGCTAGGTCTTTTGCAACGGACCCTACGACGGTCCGTCGTAGGTACGACGGTCCGTCATTGGGGTCTCGTTCTGAATAATAGTAACCAAACTAAGGGTACCCTAAGCATCCCCGATGAATCCACATCAACCTTGTAGTGTTTTGGACTTACATGTGACTTACCCAACTACCTAGGAAACTAGAAAAGCAAAAGCACCTATGTCTAGGGTGGTAAACATGGCAATTTCGAACATTTGTGACCTAGGTTAGAGAGAATAGTCTAAAGTAAACAACATACGATGAGGAACTAAGAATAATACTAACTAGTAAACAACCAGGCAAGATGAATTAGTATAAATTTAGAGACACATACCTTAGAAATGGAGAAAAACAAATGCACACGTACTCGGTGGCAAGGTAGACACTCACATCAGCAGTTTCCACTAGTAGATAACACTTAAGAGCTTTGGAGAATTGTGAGAGCGCAATGATCGGTGGTTGAGAGAGTGTGGAAGTTGAAAAGAGAGGAGAGATGAGAGGAATAATGAAGTAATGGGGGTGAAATGAGGGGTTGGGGGGTTTAAACGTTCTGATTTTGAAAAAGGGTTCCGCCTCTATCAGGTAACATCTGACCATGAACATCAACCGAAGCTGGAATGTTCTGGTTCGGATCCTCATCATTTATTCCCAAGTTTAGATTCATACTGCGCAGTGTACGCTCTAGCTCGTGATCGTAGGGAAACAAGGGTTCTCTTCCTCTCCGTGTATTTGGCATACAAGGAGGATAGTTCTGAAAAGAAATCAAAAACAAAAAAACAAAGTAAAATCAAGAAAATATCAACTAAACTATAGTAATAGGTTCAAGTTAATCTAAAAGATAAGTCCCCGGCAACGGCGCTAAAATTTGATACGCACAAACTTACTTCTCAAATAAGAAGTAAAGCGGTCGTGTCAAGTAAATAACCCAACTAGTGAGGTTGGGATCCTTCCCTCGAGGAAAATAGTCTAGACTTAACTTCAACTTGTTATTACTATTGTTTGGTCAATGACTTCCTTGGAAATTAAAAAAATAAAGGGGGGTTTTCTATTTCTAAATGAGTGAAAATAAATAACGAACTTGAAAGAGACACTTAACAGCTTTTGAATGTTGGATTTTAATCAATTAATCAAAGTAACTAGGGTTTACGCGTTCCCCACAGATTCATAACTTGATAATTCCAACTATAACAATTCTTTCCTAGTATCTTGCATGCAAAGTGATAAGTTATGTATTTCTAAATCCTTGGTCCGGAATCTAGAAAATCTCACTCCACACCTTGGTCCGTCTACGTGTGTTGCTATCCTAACCCTTATCCTTACCTCATATTAAGCATCGTATTCGATATTTGACTAAGTTATTACCTCGTACCAATCAATACTAGCCTATTAGATAGTATACACGAAATCTATGTTAATAATTCTTTTCCTATTATCTACCTCCTTGGTGCGGCAAGTAGCATTAAGGCGAGTTTTAACGTTGGCCATCCGTTAAAAAGACTTTTAAGCGAAAGAATTATTAATACATGCAAGACACTAATCTAGAATTGTTATTTTAGTTTGGGTTTATCTCATTATTTACCTATAGTTCCCACAACCCTAGTTATGGAGTTTAGTTACTCATAGTCATAAACACAATATTCAAATATATTAAATACGAATTTAAGTACTTACTTCAATGAGAAAGAATAAAATCCAAAGTTTGCTTGACTAATATCCAAAAATCACTTGCAAGAATCTCAAAATCCAACAGTAATACACAAAGTCTAAAAATCTGATGTCTAATCTTATAGAGTCTAACAATACGGAGTCTAACCTCAAAACGTGGTTTGTTGATCTATTTATAAAAAAACAAAAATCTAATTAAACAAGGATTCTAATTGTTGGAAATCTGCCAAAATGCGGCTGGGTCGACGGACCTCGCGACGGACCGTCGTGGTCACGACGGACCGTCATGGACTCTGTCGTCCCATACTTGTGCAATTTCTTCCACTGCTATCTTCATTCCCCTCGACGGCAAGTATGACGGACCGTCATAGCCATGACGGTCCGTCGAGGGTCTTCGTTCCAAAACACTTCAACTCTTGGAATTTGGGTACTTGGATCACTTCTCTGAACTTCACGACGAACCTGCAGGACGAACCGTCAGAGACACGACAGACCGTCACAAGCTTCGAAATCCCACACTTGGTCAGACTTCCCCATCTTTCTTCAACAGCTGCACTACGCTTCCACCTATGGATGGTCACAAGCACGACGGACCGTCATAAGCTCCGTAGGTGGTCTCTTCTACAGTTCTTCGCTCCAAAACTCCACATTCAGCTTTGGACAGATTTCCTGAAAAACAAAGAGAAACTTATATAAAAATTAGCACAAAAAGGCTTTTGGACATACTAAACTTAAGGAAAAAGTATTAATAATACCGTGAAACCACGGTATATCAATTACCTGAGTGTTGGTGCCCCTTCTTTAACTTGGGCCTGTCCTGGACTCCAAACAAACTCCTACCAGTGCTAGAACCATCCTGATCCGAGGTCCTAGGCTTCTTGCCTTCTCGGCCTCTCTTCCTTTGACGACTCTCCTCCACCTGTTGCACATGTACCATCAACCTAGCAAGGTCCATGTTATCATTCAACATGACTACCCGACACTCCTCCTCCAGATCCTCTGATACACCCGTCACAAACCTGCTCATCTCATCCCTGCTACTGGACACCAGGGAAGAAGCATATTCGGAAGGTTTAACAAACTTCAAGGAGTATTCCATGGATGATATACCTCCATGAAGTAGGTTGATGAACTTCTCAACCTTAGCCTCTCTCTGCTCTCTATGAAAGAACCTCTCCAGGAATGCAGTCTTGATAATGTCCCAAGTGATGGGGACTTCTCCTGGTGCTCGACCATCTACCCACATCTTATACCATACCTGAGCCACATCCTTGAGCAAGTATGCAGCCAACTCAACCTTCTCCTCTTCATTAATACCCATAGCACAGAAAATCTTGTGGACCTCGTCCACAAACTCCTGGGGATCCTCATTGGTTCTAGATCAGAAGTAGACTGGATGATTCATCCTGGTGAAATCTCTCAGTGTACTAGCCATGGTGCTAGCATATGGGTTCTCCCTGGGAGCACCCTCTCTAGTGGCCTCGGCTGTGATACCCTGAGCCAGAGCAGTAATGGCTTGGGACATCTGAACCAGTGTTTCTCTCACTTCTCCATTCGTTAATGCAGCTGGGTTGACAGGCACTTGCACTCCAACAACTGGGGCATGAGGAGGATCTTGGTTTCCCCTAGCAGCTGCTTCTCCAACTCTCCTTCCTGCATTTCTTCTTGTGTTTATTTTTCTACACGCACACACAATAAGGAAGTTATTTGCTAGGATGACACAAAATGTCAAATCTCTACACAACACGATAATGAGTAGAAGAAGGGGATATTCGTAACATCACTAAGTCTCTAAGTCATAGTTGTGGTGAACTTCACAACCATAATCTAGAAACTACGCAACGTGGTTGTTTTGAGCCTTAGTTCCTAGGTAATTTAACCTCATGCTATGATACCAAGTTTGTCACACCCGGGTCCCATGCTTTCCAACTTAAGTCATTATCATCATTAGTTCATTCAAGAAACATTCATTACATAAGGACATTCAAGTAATTGTCTTGGAGAAGACCTAGGGACTCACTCACTAACATCTTCAAAGTGTATTGTGCAATGTCTAGATAGCATCCATACCACCACCTAAACTTCATAAAACTTCTCCAATACTAGTGGGTATCCCATATGATGAGAATAGTCAATAACCGACATAGACTATGGTAGCTAAGCATGGAATCCGGAGTTTAACCTACTCTAATAGAGGGTGTTCTACTTGCCAATAGTAGAACTTAGACACATCCCATGTAGGCACATGGTTAAGGAATATCAAGGGTTCCTTTGTACTCTAGTCTCATACTTAACTAGAGCTACTATCCACACATACTCACTCGGTGCTAGCCTTTGTTCTCATAAATTAGTTCAATAAAGGACTACATGAAGAGGTTACATATATATTTCATAACACAATCACATCACACCTTACAAAAAAGGTCCCCTAGGGTTGCTTTACAATGGTTAAGAGGATAGATTAATTATTTTCCTAAGGATAATTTCATGTCATTCCAGCCAACCAATCCCTATGTCCACCATTCACACAAGAAGGATACCATTACGACATTTGACTTCAAGGATATCATAACCTTACAACTAGGTTGAAGGCTCCACATAAAGGACCTTCTTAGCAACATTCAAGGTCACATGTCATTCATACATACAAGATTAAGAGGCTTTAGCATCCTAAGTCAAGAAGACGTATTCTCACTATACATGTATGAAGTAAGGGACACAAGTGTACCAAAACAAGACACAACATACTTCACATATAACATATCATTCTAAAAGAACATAGAGTCAACTAAGACTACTTACTACTTATCCTACATACTTCTATAATATGATCAATATAACCATGATGAGACTCACATAACCAAGTGTCACATCCGGGTTTACCCCCTAGACGTAACCGGCATCGTCGTCCTCTCATAAGACTATGCCTAGCCTATTAGCTTACATCATCAAATTCATAAGTCAAATTTAGCAAAAAAATTTAAAATGATTTATTACTTCTACTTGGAGGTTTACATAGACCACTACATACACATAATAATACATATATCGACTATACATAGACCTTTCTTATATGAAGGTTATATAGCCTTCTATTTTTATTCCACATACATATTTGAGTAAAATAGAACATAGTCTTAAGGATTATCTCAATCTCATACCATCTAAAGATCATAATAATTTGGTCATAGCCCTACATCAATGTAAATAAGCCACAATAGGCTTGTACAAATCGTACTCAAATGAAAATAGATAGATTATAAAAGTCTTAAAGCGAAAACAACAATATAAGCTCGATATTGGCATCGCCCTCGCACAATGAGGACCTACCCCTACTCGGATGATCAAGGATCCAAGCCTTCTTCAAGTCGCCTTCCAAAACACTTCAACGACCCGAACCTAAAATGTTCGGGAAAAAGGGAAGAAAATGGGGTTAGTACGCCACTTGTACTAAGTATGAGACCATATGCACACATACTTTGAAATCATGCCAACAAAGAGGGATATTTATCAAAACATGTCATTTTATTCTTTGAAAAGCCTTATGCATAGTCAAGGAAAATTATACAAATTAACAAGGCATATTCATCAAGTCAAAGCAAATAACATACTTCTCAACATACTTTAACTCAGCCCAACATAACCCTACCATCATGTAATTATATCACAAGCATGGATAAGGGTTCATCATATCATAATAAAGCAAGACTACTACCCATGAATCCTCATAAATCCAACAAGTGCAATAATCAAGCAAAGCCCCATAACCTTACTTAATCAAGTGATCCAACAAGAATCATGACTAATATTCAACTTCACACTACATAACCTTTTTAAGGATATACACCATCATGCTTTTAACAACATAGACCATTTACATGTTCATAAAAGTATCAATCACCATGCAATATCATTTATATGTCAAGTCATCACACTATCATCTTTTACATTCATTATCATATACATACATAGTATCAACTTTCCAAAGCTCCCATTAAGGCAAACTAGTGCAAGGCATAGGTAGAGTCACATTCCCCTACCTAGGCTAAGTCAAACCTCTCAAGTCACCTTAGTTAGTTCATCTTCATTTGTTCATTGTAACTTTGGGAACACTTGTCTTAATCGACATAGACCACATGAGCTTAGTGTGGAATTCGGTGTTGTAAAACCTTAAACCGATGGAAGGTGGTCTACCTATTAAAGTAAAACTAAACATAAACATAGCTTTCTAGGTAGATCCGCTAGCTAGTCTTCCGATTGGAGCAACATAGTTCAAGAACTAATAGACAGTATATTTCCCTTTCATACCACTTCGCAGTTAGGGCCTCCTATCATGGGAATTTATTGGATGAGTATTCCTCTTCGAGAAGTCAAGATCTCATGTAGAACTATAGGGCAAATATTCCTCTATGGGAAGTCATCACCTCCCATTGTCATGTTCACTCGGTGCTAAGCTAAGTCGCTTTATTGAAATGTCTTTAAGCCTTTAATTATCAATCATAGCTTAGTTTAGGTCATAGGGTCTACCTCTTGTATAATCATCATCATCCATAGCTCAATAAGAATTGCATAAGCATAGTCCTTCCATCACAATTCATATAAGTGAGGTTAACACATTAACATTTCATAGCATAATAATGCACATTGATAGTCATCACCATACTTATATCACATACACCTTAATAAACCTCACAACATAGTCAAGACATTTCAATTCAACATTATACCACCCTATCAATCCAAATATAAGGCATACACCAATACAACATCACGACTTAACCACAATTAATCACAATTGGAAGTAAATATAGAGGTTCCTAGATTTACCAAGTCACCTTCATAGTTCATCATTTAGGCCTTACCATAAAACCTCAATTCAATACAATTTAGATGTTCCACATCACGATTCAATAATCAACATGATAATAATACTAGAAGAGTCACTACACCATAATTCATTACCAAATCACAAATTACCATAATAAATTTAAAATACATGTTAATATATCCATCATACCCTAAATAAAACATAAACAACTCATTTCATAATATCAAATTCGTAATTGAATGAAAGCCACTTGAAAACCCATATTTGGAAATCCAATTTGAAGGAACCCTTTGAGGAACGAGTCTCAAAGGTGAATTAGATCCCATACCTTGTTAATTGATGAAGAATTGATGGTGAATTCGTTATTTTTCAGCCCTCAAAACCTCCCCCTAACTTGGTCTTCCATGGAGTCTTCACTAGAGAGAGAAAGAAGAGAGAAGGAAGAGAGTTTGGGTTTTGGGAATTATGAGGTTAGGTTAGTTTAATTTAGGTTAGGGTCTTTATATAGATCATTAATTAAATCAATTACACCCATTTAATCCCTAATTTAACCACCTAACCCCCTTAACTAAAAAAATGACTTAAAATGTGTAGGAACTTGGACCCTCACAGACAGAACCATGATCGATGGTCCGTCTGTGAGTCAACGGGCATTGTGCCTTATATGCTTCACAACCGTCGTCTCGGTCACAGACTGAGAATTTGAGGTCTTCCAACATTTTTTCTAAGTTTGGGATGGCGGTTGGTATCGACGCCCCATCGATCCACACAGGAGCCGTCGTTTGAGTCTCGTGGGTGCACACTTCCCAGGCAATGTTGCCTTCAACATGCAAGGGTCCTCCTCAAGGGCCATTTGTTGGTCCTTGGGGAGTCTTACCCTGATGTTTGGACCACGAATCACCTTATACACATGTTATACACCCTTCCACCTAATTTCATGAATTTTTGACTTCTAAAAGCTAGTCAAATAGTCCAAATCGCGCTATTATGTTCTCGAACCAAATTTCCGAACGTCATGGACGTTCTTGGACGTTTTGGTTCCTTTATCACTTATATTCATTATTATAGGTCTTATAACAGTGTTTAGACCCCATGGCACCTATGTTAGGCCTTAAGACTCGTATTGGATTTTCGAACTGTTACACCAAGTAGGAAGAATCATACATCAATCCTAAGACTACACACATAATGACATAGTCATAGTCTAACATGATCACCTAATGTAAATAGAAGCACACATACTTTCACCTTACTCACTAGTATATCGATATGATCATACTTCACATAGATCACTACACAAATCATTATAATATACCAAGTAATTGCCTACAAGACTAATAATCATAATTCACAAATCATAAAGTAACACCGACAAGGCCAATTAGCCATAAGTATAGCACATAAGCACCTCCACCATAAGTGGACCATACTAAGAGTCATCATCATCTAAGAACTATACTACACAATATAGAGAAATTTAGGTCAACATACCA